CCGGCAGTCATTAGCTTGTTACCTGGTTAGCTGATCGCCTTTCTGGGGAGTAATTATTGCTTGAAAAATGACAAAAATGATAACAATTTCATCACTCAAACCAAACATGCTTATGGGACATTGCTGCATGTCGGGAAGCAACAACAAGAACCGTATTGCATTTGATGAGCGCCTTTCACGACGCGAGGACGTCTTAGACAGAGTTACGTTTCCGAGCTGGGGGTCGGGTTGGGGCAGGTTGGAGGGTGGTGGGAGAACCCTTGGGAGAAGCAGGAGATGGATAGCACGGACGAAGAGGAGGGTGTTGTGATGGGTCTTGAAGGTGGCAGAGGATGGGGCGAGGCGAGGGGACTGAGCGAAACGACATAAAGCGCTTCACGGGATATACTGTCATGTGCGGGGACTGTATTTTATGTCTGTTCTGCATTCCGTCTTCTTTCGCATTGTCAAATATACAATACTCCAAACGTATTTGAATGTTTTCCTTTGCAGACAACACTTAAAAACGTGGTACACCTGGCTTTCATTACTTGTGGAGTCCTGTAGCTCAGTGGTTAGAGCACTCGCTTTGCAAGCGAGAGACCTGAGTTCAATTCCAGGCAGAGGGCCAAACCTTGGGCAAGTTTCCTTACTCCACACAGAGCCTAATAATAATCCCTCCAAAACCAAAAACAATAATAAAAATTGGTAATTTTCAATCTACGACTGTTTGTGGGACATTGCTGTGCGCAATTGGCTGCCGCGTTCGCCACAAATATACAGTCAATTCACTTTACAGTGTTCTGTGAAGCGCTTTGGGACGTCCTCCCGACGTGAAAAGCGCTATGTCAAATGCAAGGATTATTATTATTATTATTAATGAACTGAAACGGCGACTTTTCTAGCTAACGCTTCCTTTAATTCTCTGAATTGGTTGTGACCCATAATGTTATGGAGCGACAGCAAACTGACTTGTGGTGAATGCGGATTCCCATGAAGTTCGCTGCACTCAAAGTCGGAGTCTGTACACACTCAGGGTTGATCAGACGGATAGACTAATCTCACAATGCCAGGGTAACTATTGTACGAGCCTGTGGCTGGTTCCCATCACTGTGAGGATAGAGGGAGAGACAGCACAGAGATGCACAGTGCTGTTGGAAAACAGCGGCTCAGAGATGGATAATCTGGTGACAGATTGGGAAGCGAAAAACTGAGAAGAGAATCGATAACCATTTCCATTTCCTTTGCTTTTCTGCTTATTATCTGACTATCTTCGCAATATTTAGTCTGGCTTTTTGTCTCGGTAATGTCGGTACAATAAAGTAATGATAATAGTTCTTGCATTTGATATAGCACTTTACACGTCTTATCTATGTATATTTTAAATAAATAATATGTATAATCTGATAGATTATAATAATATCTCTCAGTCATGGAATGGGAACATTCAAGAGTGACGGTTTCTCATTCTTTCTTCTCCATCGCTGCAGTGCACAGTGTTTTGCAGTTTCGCCCTGTTGAGGACAAAGAGTTATGCAACAATTCTGTCATGATGTTTGATGCAAAACTTGAAGTAAAGCAATGATTGTGATAACAATGTGTTGTGGTTCCAAGTGGCTTATATCACCTGAGGCTCAGAGTACAGTAACACACACCGCTGTCAGTCACTGTAACTGTACAGATAATGAAGACCCCCTCCCACACACTAAATTCTCGCCTCACAATTATGTTGAGCTGTTCTGAGCCCCAAAGGACAATTTGTAAGTGTAATAGTTCACAATGCAATACGGAATTGAGCCACTGGCAATTGTGCAGTGTTTCATTTACGTATTGATTCGAAAGCAGTGAGTAGGAACCCAGTTGTTATTAAATAGGCGTATTGCTTTCGGTGGATCACATTTACTCGAACATAGTAATATTTATACATTCATTGAAGCCACGACTCTTTGTGGGTCACTGCTGTGTGCAAATGGCTGTTGCGTTTCACACACAAAAGTTACAGTCAATTAAGATGTTCATATAATCGATATTAGACGTCTGGAAATCATCTCATGTCAAATGCAAAGATTATTAATTCCAAGTGAGTTGACTTTGTATTTTGCAGGCGACCAATCTGGGATTGAGAGTGCATCACATTATTATTGTTTTCAGTCATTTAAGGGTTTATTATCAAACGAAACCGATCCATAAATCGACTAAGTAACGGGTTCCTACTTCCTGCTTGGTAAACCGAGGCGAGTAGTGTAAGGATATTTGCCCAACGTTTCGGCGTGTATGGGAATCGAACACAAGTCTTCTGAGCTGTGAGACCAGTGCTCTCACCAGTGCGCTGCAAAATTTCAGAAATTCATCTTATTCGCTTAGTCTGATCCCATCCACTTCCCGCGCTCTTTATGGGACATATCTGTTCGCAATTCGGCTGCCGGGACCTTTAAGACCTATCCAAGATGTGATCAGCCGTCAAATGAAACGCAATCGATTATTACACTGATGTCGGGAGACGTTTCAAAGCGCCTCACAAAACTTTATAAAATTCTGCGTGTCCAGGGAATTGCATTTCGACTGTTTTCTGAATTCCATCTTCTTCCTTAGAGTCAAAAAGAAAACAGTTCAAACAGCTTTTATTGTTGAATTTGCAGCCCAGAGTGAACCAAAATAATCCCGTCTGTTGTGCTCAATTCGCTTATTATTTTAAACTCTGCGTTTATATTTCACACATTTGTGTGAATCTTCAGCAGACAGATTGACTTGTGGTGAACGCCAGACTTCCTGAAAACAGACTACTCGCCTCAGCGCCACCTCACACATCTAAGATAGTTTCTGTACGAGGCTGAGACTGGTTTCCATCACTGTGGCTCTGAATGCACAGTAATACAAAGCAGCGTCAGACATTTCTAACTGGGAGATGGTTAATTTGCTGGATTTTTTGGAGATCTGCAGCTCATTTGAGAAGCGAATTTTAGCAAAATTCGCTTTATGGTTGGAGTAACCGCTACAGCTCCGCAGGATATACTCGGGTTGATTTTCTGGGCGTTGTCGGTACCAGTATAAACAATAGCTGCTCAGTGATGTAGAATAATCACTGTGCAAAGTCACTTGCCCTCCTTCTGTCTCTGTCACTGAAGGCTCCGACTGAATAACAGAATCTCCCCGGGTCAGACCTGAAACAAAAGTCTAAGATAAATTAAAAATGAACAGATTGAAAAAAAAATACCTGCGCTTGATATAGCGCTTTTTCGCGTCTTTAATCGTTTCCCAACGCTTCACAGAATACACTGCGAATTGAATTGGATGTCTATTTTGTGAAAAAAAAACTGGCAGCCAATTGCGCACAGCAGTGTCCCAGAAACAGTGTAGATTGAATGACTAATTTATCATTTGTTTTTTCTTTGAATTATTGTTCCCCCGACAAAACGATCCACCAATTGACAGAGAAAAGGATCGTACAATTTCCAAGTGGAGTAATTCATCAAGCCCAATGTTAGGCCCTGACAGGAATCGAACCCGAGTCATGGATTGCGAGGTGAGCGCTCTTTACACTGAGCTACAAGACTCCACCGAAAAAAGCTATGCAACCAACATGGAGCATTGGCTGAAAGATCGGATATTTAATTAATTGATCACCTCGTAGAAAGACAGACAGAATCACACAGATCACAGTTCCCCCCATCGTCTGAGCTCTATCTGCAGATGCCCATTGATTACTTGTAGGATAGTTGAGAGGATTGGTTCCAGCCTCAGCAGTGATGACGGGTGCTGTCGCCCAATAGGTAAAGTGCAGAAGGTCCTCGTGATCAGAAACACTTTGCAAATAATTATTTTTACATGACTAAAGCCATAGAATCGTTGATTATAAGAGGACGGAAGGAGGCTTCTCGGCACATTGTGACTGTTTCGACTCCATGAAAGAGCTGCAAAATCATTCCCAATCCCCATACTTTCCCGCTCGCAATGCAATTCTTATTTTCCGTTGTAAGTACTATCCAATTCCCTTTTGGAAGTTGCTACCGAATCTGCTGCCACAATTCTAAACCGTAACGAGTCTATCGATTAAAAAAANCGACTGTCTCTTCGTCTCTGCTCTGGTAATTTTTACAATTACTTTCAAGCGAAATAAACTCAAAAGCTGTAAAAGTTTTAATAAAAACATTAATGTTAATACAGTATATCACTGAGTTATGCCCAGATAACCTTCACTGAGCGAAATGGTGCGAAATCTGTGACCAAAGGATCAAAGATGCTATGAAAGACGAACATCTCAAAGCATTAAGCACGATGAAACGTGAAGTTTAGTGACTGTATCTATCCGTCAATTCCCAGTCAATTCACTTTGCTGTATATTCTGTGAAGTGCTCCGTGACGTTATAAGGCGTGGTGTTAAATGTAAGAAGTAATAATATTTACTTCACTCTATCACTACATGAACTGCTCTACCACTTTTTGCTTGTGGTTGGCAATTAGTCACATGTTTCCTCTGAGAGACACAGCAGCAAAGTCTTAATATGTGAAATAGGTCAACTGTCAGGACAAACATCTGTGCTGAGATAGAACCCTTTCGCTGCTCTAAGGAGGTTTATGTACAGTGGTGTAGTTTGACAGTAAAACAGTGTGTGTTCGCACAATGTTTGGCCTATCAGATAGAGACACCGGGAGCACAGTTCCAGTGGATCTCTCCCTCCTCGTATCCAGATTAGTGGTGAAACATTGTGTTGCAAATTCAGCACCGAAAGTTTCCGGGTTAAAATCATGCCTCTGTGTGAGATTCCCTCAGGTGAGACTTCCCTGGATACTGATGGTACCAGAATATGAAAACATTGCTGAAATCAGCAGACAAACTGCTGCTCAGGGTGATAGTCTGGCCTTCAGTAACAGATACTTCCACATGTGATGGTTCACCGCTGACTCTGTTCGCTGATCCTATAGCCAGAGAGAACACTTTATTCATGAGACACAAAGGCCAGGTGTACATTTCCATACTGTTTCAATGGTGAGGGAGAATGGCTTACACATCAGGACCAACA